CAGTGCAGGAGATAGCATCAGTGGAACAGCCTTGGGTCTGGTAGGCCTAACAGATTATGCAAAGAGGCTTACAAGATTTCAGAAAACCCAAGGCTCTGACCCCTTAACCACTGCTGATTGACCCCTTACCACAGTCTCTAATGTTAAATCAAAGGCTAAACTACGTAGATTTATATCAGATAAGATTGGATTAATGGTTGATCAAAGACTAGTATCAAGAGGTTTAAGCGGACCTGGTACAATATCATTCGCTTTAGACTAATAAACAAAGGTCTTTAATTTTTTTTGTGATGGGCTGGGGGGAGGAGGAGAAATAAGTTGGAGTGGGACAATATCCTACAGTATTATTAAATCAAATTAACAAACATCATAATTTCATGACTTGTTTTACCAAGGAAATATTAACATTTAATACCTTGGTTTTACCACACTAAGGTTTTACCAAGAAAAAACCATGGCAAAGCCAGTAGGCTTGGCTTAATGTATCTCCCTGGGACAAGCATGTTCTTTTCATTATGAAGCAATTAACCATAACAATCAAAAAGATACCTGGCAATTGACATTGAGCAAATCTGGGATAGCACTAATTGCTACTTAGCCAAAGGTCACTAAGTTGAGACAGACAACACCAAGAAACTGAGCGACATAGACTGTAAGAATAGAGCATGGAGGTATAAACATATTATTTATTTATTCTACTATTATACCTCCATGAATGGAGCTAGGGTTTGGTAGTAATATTTCGTTCACAAAATAACTGAATTCTGGGTTCAATTCCTGGAAAATGTCAGGTTTTTTTTATATAACCTAAGTATGCACTCCCCTTGGCTTAGGCCCTATATCTAGGCTGGAAAAGTGATGAGGGAGGGAGGTTTTTATTTTTTATTTTGCTAAAGCCAAATATCATACTTGGGATATTTGCTGGTGCATTGATATTCAAAGTAAAATACATGATTGAGGTAATACAAATAATATCTACTATACACTAAAACAAAAAAAAATTAATCTACTATACACTAAAAAAAAAAGTAATTAAAAAAAATAAATTAAAAATTTTTTTTTTCTTCAATACCATAAAAGACATACGGGTGAGGGTGATAAACTAATCATTTTTTTTTGGGACTTCATGGTTTGATAAATGATTATCTAAAATCTATATAAAATGCATTGCTTTATAAATTAGTGTTAAAAAAAGGTAGTATTAGAACTAGGCCGACATATTAAAAATTATCTATGCCGAAGGTTATTAATTACTTACACCATGGAGCTATAATAATTATAACTCAATGCTTACTTACACCCAATATACAGATCAACAATTGTATGATGGGTGGGTGGTGAATTGTTTGATAAACTGGAAAGGAATTGCCTAGAGTTCAATTGCCCGTATAATTGCCATAAAACAGGGCACTATGGTAATTTGCATCTAGCTGAAATGATGGGAGCAGCAGCTGGAATCAACCAATCATATTTAAGTATCTCCTGCTCTAACCCTTAACAACAAAACTTATTTTAAAATGTTCTAAACAACCACTATGGCAAGGCAAACTGTCATTTTTTTTATCAGAAATTTATCAACTAAGATACAGGGGAAAACATACCAGGGGGGGCCAGCTGTTGGGACACCTGACCCAGCTTTTAACAACTGCAATTAAAATCTGTTGGGGGACAAATAAATTATTAGATTCATTTTCTAAAGCCAGACCAGCTGACCTAAGAGGATCATGGCATCTTTAGAGGTTGAAATGACTAATTTTCAAGTAGCACCGACCATTTTAACTATAGGAGAAATGATGACACCACCATGGAAAGACAATCATAGTTTCTGGCAAAGTCAGGTCACTCATGACATTCTCCAGTAATCTTGGTTCTATTGATCTGGTGGCAACACCTTCCTTCCTTAATGTCATCCAACATCATCATTCTCCTACTTCCTCTTGGTCTTTATAGTTGCAGCATTATAAATTTTATTTGAGTATGGTACAAGAAACTATGAGATTGGTACAGTGTTTGTGTATATTCACTACCACCATATTGTCCTTGCAGTGGCAACTGGCCCTTCGTCAGGGATCGTAAAAATTCAGGGGTGGGGGCCCACCCCTGTATTGTTTATAGTGTATATTTGGCTCATGCTAACTGATCGCCATGGGCGAAAACTTAAAAAAGATCAACTGCTTTAGCCATTTTAGCGAAGGCCTAAAATAAAAAAAAAGTTTTAAATACTTGCCAAAATACATCATTTTTTTATTTGAGCTCCATTTTTGGCCAACTCCATGCGACGCTTATTTGTGTTGTTGTATGAGCAATCTTGCTGCAAACGTCATTGCGTGCCTAGCAAGTTATTTTTTATTTGTAATTGTTATTTTAACGCAGTATGCAGGGCAGTGGCTTGGGTTTTTCCGCTAATCAAGACACACAAGGGCCGATGCGGTAGAAATTGCATATCCTAGTATCATTAATAATAATTTAATCAGTGATTTTGAATATACTGTAGTCTAGTAAACCACCGCTAGCTCCCCACCCCCGATATAGTTCAAAACTAAAAAGAAAATACTGTATAGGCCTAGACCTACGTAATTTTTTCAACTTTGCTGAACAGCATATTCAGCAAACATTCAAAGTACCTCATTGGTTTGCTAAAAATATTATTTTGCCTATCAAATAATGTTACTAATTTCCCCCCTCCCTACACAAACCTACCACAGATTTTTTCTGGTACCCTCATCAAGGCAGGGATGGATTTAGGGGAAACAACCCCAACCCCCCTTTTTGGAAATTAAAAAAAAAGGAACAAAAATTGATTCTCCAAAATATGCCTTAGAGGTTTATTTTTAGGTGTTTGGAAAACAAAAATACTCTAGGACCCTTTAAAGTAGTGTTGTCTCGATAGAAATACCCCCCCCCCCCAAAACATCTCAGGCCCCTTGGTACGGAACATCTCAGGCCCCTTGGTACGGACTCCACTGTCGAACATGTTGGACCCCATGTCCTGTCAGAAAGTTTTAGCTAGTGATCTTTAACAATTGTCATCAAATTTTGGCTACAGACAGATTCAATTGGCTAAACAAAAATTGTTGACTTTAGCCAATTGGCTTAACAAAAAAAAAATGTTAGAGTGAGCCCAGGTATACGAAGTACTATACCATGCTTATGATGCAACATTGTGTTTGGTAACTCCCATAATATCTGTTATTTCAGGTAAAGTCAGTGATTGCCTTGATATTACGCAAACCTGACTTACCACTGGTTAATCCGTGTACTGTACAAATAAACTAAAATTAATCGTGATTAGACAGATTGAATGTAACTGTGGGAGTGGTCAGAGCAGCAGCTAGGTTTGCACTCTCAAACTAGAGTCTATGTTCAAACTTGGTGCACTTTCTTTGCATCTGTTTCTCTTACTCAGGAGTACTGCAGCTCGATAATAGCGGAGAAGTCTGTACTTTGTACCGGTTTGCAAATATATAAAATAGATCCACTGACAGGAGTTATAATAACACAGCCGGTGCCTTGTATTTCTTGGCAAAATGTGACTGACTTTTGCCATATTAAGTCAGTTCAGGGATGCAACAAGACAGTTAACAAAGAGACCAGACTCGTCTCTGATGCTGCAAATCGTCTTGTACTGCACATCAGTTCTAAAATAAACGTATGTGTTGAAATTTGGTGTGTATGAGGAAAATGTACGAGCTGCACTGAAACAGCAGTACAACAGAAGTACACCAATCTAACAACTTTATAAATAATTGTAATAGATTAAAATTTGGTTGGTGAAAAGATGTTATAATCCTTGGGTAATGACAGTTTTGCTTGCTCATACATTCCAGTAAGAATATAATACTACAAAAATTTGACATAAAATGATAGACAAACAAAACTAAGATAATATATTATACAGAATAACCATTGCTCATTTAAAACAAATAAAAAAAAGTTGGAATTATATAATGTCATTGGCTTGCAGTTTGTCTCATTATTATATTATTCAAATATGAAGCAGCTAACACCCTTTTTTAATAACAACTTAATTGACACAAAAGCTTTAGACAGTTTTACTTAGCTTTATCAAATTACTGAAGAGGAAATTGGAAAAATTTAAGTCCATCCTCTTAGTTCATAGACAAAGAGAGGATTAAAAGGGGAGTTTACAATTATGCATAAACAATTAGTAAACTATACAGTCATAGCATAATACTAAATGAAGAAATTTAAGAAGCTAATGTTCTATTGTCAGTTTATATAATTATAAAAGTGGCCAAAGCTTAATTCATAGCTATACTAGGGAATCTTTTCTGTGTTGCATTGCCATAATATGGGTTCCTTAGCTTGCTGATTCTTTAATGTTGTTAATTCAATATTATACTGTAATTTTGTATCAAGCCAGAATACTACTTATGGATTAAATTAGTGTCCCAGCATTCATTACTTCCATTAAAAAGAAAAAAAAAACAAAAAGTGTTTATGCTTCCTCAGCCTAGCAACCAATTGGCCTGGTTCATTACCTATCACCTCTCCAAAATCAAGGAGAGCAAGACAGAATTTATACTTTCTTTATTTATGAATGTCTTGATTCGCATTTTAATTTTAATCTTGTCTCTATGTTAAATTTTCATTGTAAGCTCCTTTATATGTAAAATACTCCCATGTCAATGTCTGTAAAAATGGTTTGATTTGTCATCTTTCTTCAGCTTACAATTGTTGTCTTCCTAAAAACAATAGTCTTGATATTTTTCATTGTAATTTCAATCAATTTATGCATGTTATTATTGACCTTATCTTAGTTTTTAATTGTTTTTGTCTTTTTTTACGATTTTTGTATTGTTTTCATTGACATTTATTGTTATTTTTTCTTAATGAATAGCATTTATATAATTCTTTACGTTTTGATAATATATTGTATTTTTTATATTAGTTCCATCCTGTTATTGGTGTTTTACACTGCTGGATGCGATAAACAAATATAAAAAAATAGAATTCATATGTAGACTAAGATTTTTTACCGTTTCATTGGGTTTAACAACCTTCAGGAATGGGCCTTTCCGTTTAGCCTCTTCTCGCTCTCTTTTTGTAATCCGTTTCGAGTCAAGGAACTTTAAATTTGGAAGATGGTACAACACTAAACACCTGAAAGAAAAAGAAACCATTTCACAATACTTTACCAATTTTTGCATGAAATTTATCAAACTACTTTAAACTACCTTTTTGGCTGCCAGTGACGAGTATACTCACCCACAGGGTGTTTCTGAGGGTGCCAGGGACGAGTATACTCGCAAAAAGTGGATGAGATAACTCACACTTGGCATAGTCAGTAAAAAAAGTGCTGTAGATGAGTTTTACTCGCCCACTAATATTGTCCCGCCAATTTATTAGACACACGTTTATTAGATAAAATTTCAAAAAAGTATGTTTGTACATGTAAAGTTGTTTTGGCACATGAAAGGAACCTTAAAAAAAGGTCTGGCAGTCAACGTGTTAAACAAGCTTTATTAACAGACCATTTAATTTGATTTTGTTGTGTTTGATGATGCCCATCTCCAGCAGGCTTCACGGAGACAATTTATAATACAGTAGTAAAAACATGCAAGTATCGTGAAGTTTCGGGAGATGGTTTAGGCTAGTTTCCTTGAGATTTTTGCTTGCTTATGAGAGTGATGTGAGGCTATCCCGATATCCAAGACTCCAGTGACTCATGAAAGACTTGCGACCCCTGCCATGGTCTTCGTGACCTCCCACAATTCATATCATGGTTCACCTACTTATATTTTCTTCTAATTTATACTTTTGCAAAGGCAAAACACACAGAAAATTCTTTCATAGGAATTAGTTTTTTGTATTTGAAAAGGGCTTAGAAAACCTCCCACTCTCCCCCTCCCCACCCAAAAAAAATAAGATTGTTGTGTTGCCCAAGTACAGCAACATTAAATATTAGGGTTGTCAACACGAAAATATTGACCTAGTCATATTTCTAATATTTTGGGCTCATTCTAAGTTAAAATATAATAGCTTCATTTACTTAAACATTGTTTGGTACACAATAACCCTTTACCTGTATCTTTTATAATCCTCTTCATCTTTGTCTGAGGCTGAGAGCTCATTTGGACAAGCTATGTTCCCTAGGAGACTAATGTAGGTCAAGCATGGTAGTTGCTTTTTTAGTTGTTCCAATAATACTTCCAAATCTGTAATGTAAGCTAAAGGCTAAGGAATAATAAGCAGACAATAGAGGGCTCACTACAAGTTTGAGTAAAAATCAAAGTGGATGATGAAACGCACTGAGAAATTGCATAGATATGCTTCACAACAAAAAAAAATTTAAAAAACATTATTACATTATAATTTTTTTACTGTACACAAACTGTCCAATTTCAATATGTTTGTATTGAAGAATCGACAAAATAGCTTTAAAAAGAAAATTGATACATTAGCAGAGATCCCAATTCTCCCGAGAATTGCGGGTTTCTCCCGATTTTTGAGGCCGTCTCCCGCCCTCCCGATTTTTATTAATATCTCCCGATTTTTTAAAATATCCCGAAAATTTCACGAAAAATGTGATTTCCACGATGTCATAGAGCAATAAAACAAAATTTCTTATCTTAAGCCAATATACTATGGCGCTCGCTCAGCCATAAAATGTCATAAACAAGGCCAGGGAGTTGTTATTTAAGTTGTTTATCAAAATAACAACTCAGGGCAAGGCAGGCCTAGATCCATGGTAGAACCGCCTTGTTTATCCTCCATGTTTACGATCTTTTGCATCCAGTGCCGGCCGACCTCATTCAATGAGATGGATGTCAGTTGAGTAAATAAATTTCAACAAATAGTAACGAAATTAGAAATCACATGGGAATGGATGCTGTCTCTTATACACATCTAGATGTGTATAAGAGCTAGGGGCCTACTGTAGGCTTGAGCCTAGAGATTTCAAAAACTGCATTGGTGGCAAGCCAGATCTTTGACAGAAAAAGGCCATAACAGAAACTAAATTTTACGTATGTCAAGCCAAGAAAATTGACTGTTCGTAAAACAGATTTGTTTGTACAATATTTAGTCTAATAAGTCAATCACTAAGCAATTTACGTGAAAAAACATGATTGTGATGTTGGTGGTGCACTTCACAGCTTGCTTCCAGTGCTCAAGATGAAAAAAAAAATGATCGTTTTTCATATATTATCGGCATATTTAATTAATTTTCATAATTTTTTCAAAAAAAAAAAAAAAAAGAGATGCGGCTAGAAAATTAGGGTCGGTAGGTGACGCTAAACAAGTATATTTTTTTTGGCCTAATTGGAAGGAGTTTTTGATTATTCTTATGAATATTCATAAAAGGATATTTTGTTTTTATTAATCATTAATGTGTGCAGTTGAGGGAGCCTTGGTATTCGTACTTGATCGTCTATCTCATTGTTGTCCAATACTAGCTCCTGTAAATTTGAAAATGACTCTAGCCCAACCAATGTCCTGTGGAAATAGAAAAAAAATATTACCTCATTAAATTACATAAACTGTAATGTTATGCAAATTCAAAATATGCTGCTACCTATCAAAAATTAAGAAAACCTCATACATTAAAATAATAATTTGATTCACACATAAATATTCAAAGATCAAAAAAGACAATTTATTTAAAAATTGTAAGGATTTTTGCAGTAAATCAGTAAAAACTGATTTCTTTTGATCTGTGTTTTAATGGAAGTTCATTGCTTATTAAAACCTTTTAATCAGCAATTCAATATTTTAAATGAATAAAGATTTTCCTGATTTCAACATCACTGAACTGTGCTGGAACAAAAGGTCACTGTGAAATGCTGAACTATTATTTATATAAGCAACTTCCTACTTTTGTTTTCAATTGGGAGGAGAGGAAGTGCAGAACCTCTTGGATTTATTTGGTGAAAAACACAAAGGATAACCCATGAAAGACTGAAGAAGGCTTATTTCCAGTGGGGTCCTTCTGGTGGTGATTGGGCAGTACACCGAGAGTTTAGTACTGCATTGAATTGCCATCACCATTTGAGAGAAGTCAGCATTTCATAGTATTAATATAGGCCTGTAGATAATCACACCAATTATTTCCAGTAAAATCAGAAGACACTATATAATCATTGCCTACAGGTATCATGGGTATGGTATATATGATGTTATATACCTCATATACAGATTCTAGGCATCTGATTGGTTAAGAAGTGGGCAACAGAAAGTGCTATTCCCCTCAAAAGGTACTATTACTTATTAAGTACTCTACGACGAAAGAGATTGGCCCTTGACCATGCCACAGATCAGCGAGTAGACGATAAAGAAATATGGAGGCTAGACTTAGTCGGTTCGAGCTGATAGCAAAAGCCGATAGCAAAAGCAACAAAAGACAAATTAAATATGTCTTGTCAATATTCGACAAATATTACAAGATGATGGTTGCTGTTGAAATTGAGAAAATAAGCAAAGAAGAGCTAGACACACTCTTTGATCGCCTAGGCTACTTAGTGTGTAGGCTACGGTCTCCAAATCACCTCGGGGGAATAGATTTCACCGTTCCCCTCATGAGCAGTCAATATTTGTACAATATATGATAGGTTTTAACTATGATGTTATATGTTTGAGAATATGCCATGAGAAAAAAAGAATTAGGTGGACATTACTTAAGTATTTTAGCATATAACATACTGATATTACCATAATTAAGTATTTAATTAGCCTAGTAGGCCTACTTATTCTAAGATTAGTGATAGCAATTAACTAAGGCAACCACTAAGTAATGAGGCACTAACTTTATTCAATTTCATATAATTTTAAGCAATACATTTTCTTTTTAAACTGTATTTGTTTCCCACAAAAATGTTTATCATTTATTTTTCATGTGTCATTTTCATTTTGTTTACAATGAATTGTTTGGAAATTAACGTTAATTTTTGTTTGATTTTACCTTTTTTTTTTAGGTTTTTCTAAGAAGCTTCTATGGTTATCTCCTTTCTTGCTCTCAATTCATTTATCAAACTTGAATATAGATTTTTTGGACTTTTGGTACATGATTTTATTTCCTTTTGACCTTGAACTTTGATTTATAAATAATGTTTGTTTGTTGACAGTAATAAATATCAAACAAAACAAATATACACTAAGTAAATAAATATAATTAAAATGAATGGAACAATGAAACCAAAATAGTAAACCAAACTAACAGGCAATATTAATAATACTCACCTTAAACAGTTGAAACTCAAATCTAACCTGGTGATCACATTTCCGTGTTCTTCACATAAACCAGCAGGCAAAGAAACAAGCTCAGCTCCTATTAGTGACAACTTGATTGAAAAGAGGAAACATATCATTGAAAGTGGACGATAACAGACACATTTTGCTGGGTTTATCATGTGACGTAAAGTGGGTATCAATTGAAAACATGCAGCACGAGCAACGCTTGGCAATAGAAAAACACATGGCTTCTTCGGAGTATTTGTGCTGTAAAGCACATATTTAATGTTTAATAATGTTGGTTGGAATACCAGTAACTACACCAAATTAATTGGAATTTGAGATTGACAGTTTTGCTACAATACTGTAGTTTGCCAATGCTTCAAAATATGCTGGCCCAAACATTTAGATTTTTAGAGAAATGCTAGGCCTATGCCACTGCATGTCTAAGGCCTGTTCCGGTATGTAATACCCACTATATGTCACATGACCAGCTGTCTATTCAAAAAGAAAATATAGAAATTTCAATTAAACTAATGACAACCTGCAAAAACAAAAAAGGGTTATGTGTAAAAATTTGCTGGTTCACATCTAAATTTATTACCAGATCTGGTGCTTTATTAAATTACATTTAAACCAACATTTTAAAGATGTGGTCAAATAAAAAATCATGTTTTAATCCTCTCTGTCATTCACTATATTGAGCAGGATCCTTTACAAATGGTGTAAATGTCAAGCTTAAATGCTGCACACATCATCAAATTACAATCATCGGAAAAATTACAAGAAAAACAACAAGGCGCATTTGTGTACTCTTGAATAGTAGGCCTATTTGTTATGTCTGGTGCATGGCTCATTCTTCAAGAGCAACACTCAGTCACAGGGGTCCCAAGTTGGACGAATCCACATTCGGGAGATCTGTTTAAATGAGTGTCTAAACACATGTACATATTATGTTGCTGTGCATGGTGATAACCATTGACACTGACTTCTGGGAGACAATTGATAATACAGTAGTAAAAACCTGCAAATATCATGAATTTGTGGGAGATGGTTTATTTTCCAGAATATGCCTCGCAGGAATGCAGCAGGCATTCATGCCGATTTATAGGAGACTCCATCCTGGGACTCTGGAGCAGCCCAAACCATGGGCACTAAATGTGGTCTTTAGATTTCTTTCTTTAAAGTGAAATTAAGAAATAATACATTAAATGCTTATGTTTTAAAATAGATGACTACATGAGCTTACTTATTCTCAGGCTGGTTATTCTTAATAAAACATTTCATGGTAGCCAGACATGAAATAACATGAAAAAATGTAAAATTTCATGAATTTGCAGGAGATGGGTTATTTTCTGGGAGATTCTTACTTGCTTGCGGGAGTGTGGGAAACCGTAACAATTTCCGGGAGACTTGGAATCCCTGCAGATAAGTGCGGTGATTACGTAATTTATGTCACTAAAATCATTCTCTGAACTTAGAAGTGCTGAAAGTGTTTCGAAGGTAAAATTATTTTATTAATAAGTTGTCCCTTCTTTGCAGCAGTGCAAAAAGTACATAAAAACCAATATCAAACAAGGCACTACATATAGGCCCTAGGCCTATTCAATTATGTAGAACGTACATACAAGTAAAGAGAGACTGAAGATTCTACCAATCAAGCACAAGGTAAGGATAAAAAAAATGTCTAAAATCGTTGGAACAAAATAACTAAGAAGTAATGTTTACATGGTGTAGGTTTAACCTAAGCTGAGCACTAACTAAGCGTCGAAACATCACCTTGTCAAACTCACACAGGCACAGTCCTGTTCAGTTGACTAGAGTGGGAAGCACGTCAGAAAGACACCGAGTGGGGCTTAGCCTTTATAACAAAAGCTAAACCTAGGCTAGTAGGGCCTAGCCAAAAATACAGGAACACATGAATTTTAATTGAAGCACAGCAATATATACCTGAGTTCCTTGAATAATTGGATTAATTATATTTGTTATTTGATCATCTCTATGCTCAGAATCTTCCATTTTTCAGCAATGTTTTGATTCTAAAAATCCAAACTTGCGAGTTCCTCCCTGATGAAAGCTTATTTTTCACCTGACTTGGCTTGCGCCCTCTAGGATTATTATACAAGATTTACGTCACCGTCGTGAATTCTTCACTCCTCTGTGCGACATACTATCGGTATTCTATGTTTGTGCGATCCTTTTTTCGTCCGAAAAATCACGGAAAAATCTATGTTTCAATATTGGTTGCAAACGCGTTGACTGCTGCGATATATGTTGTGTTTTCCGAAATATGTAGGCCTATGGCCTATCATTGTAAACAATTAGTTTTACTGGTTTACCTAAATGAAATAGGGAATGAGGAGAGGGAATGCAAAAGAAGTTCAAGGATGAGGGAAGACGATCAGAGGAGGAGTTTGATAGGTTGCATTTATTTGTACACTTGAATGTTTAAATCGCAACGTATATAATTTATGTCTGCTTCCTAAAATTAACCATACCAGCTGAAAATATTATATAAACATTGCATTCTATGAATACCAAAAACACAGATGCTAAATGGATGGTTTTCACCCGCCGATCCGTTCTGAGTGCGACCGACAATATGATATGAAGTGTATGCAGACCCCTTGCAATGTTTAAAAAATTATATTTTTACAATTATTATTCAATTTTGTTTTATTCTTCGGATGTTGCCAAGTGCAAGAGTGTCGGACCAAGAAAGCGAAAACTTGCATTACACGACGCCGCCGATACCGCAGTTTGGCCGCGTTGCGCGATGGAAGCATACAGAAGTTCGGCCTATGAGTTAGAAAGCAAAGAAAAATGTATTTTCAGAATATGAGTCAATCCATTCGACTGCCTGAATATTACTTTTAAGCAACTATGTTAATGTCTACCAAATAATAATAATAATGATTTTCTAAGTAATTATTCCATTTATTAACGAATACCTTAACACGTTGACTGTCAGACCCTTTTTTACGATTCCTTCCGGTGTGCCAAAACAAATTTACATGTACAAACATACTTTTTTGAAATTTTATCTAGTCATATATCATCAAAATAATGTGTCTAATAAATTGGCGGGAAAATATTAGGGGGCGAGTTATACTCGTCGATGGCACTGAGATAGAACTTTTCACTGGCTATCAGCGTGACCACTCACACTTTTTGATATATACCCAATGACTGGGTCGAAATTACCCATGATTCAGGAAAATTGCCCAAAATTACCCAAGCTTCCTGAAAATGCATTAAAATGTGAAAAATACGTGTTTTTCGCATGTATAGTTTCCCTTTTAGTTCAATTTATAAACCATTTTTTATTGTAATTGTTTGTGTTAATTATTAAAATAAATATTCATGAGGTAATAATACGGATAGAAAAATACGTCCTCAGTCTTCCAGTGTTATCAGTAATCAGGTTTTATTATGTAATGCATTAATTAAGATCAATTGCAACGCAAATCACAAATAAACAATTCTGAACCCAAGTTTATAGCAATTAACAATGTTATGTGCACCTCGTTGAGTTTTGCTTACTATATTGGACTGAAATATACTTTGTTACTTCTTAATTCTTCCTCTATGACAAAAATATTTAATTTTCTTAGTAAAATAAAGGATTTGAACGGAATACCCAAGAACCCAAGTCAAAATACCCAAGATCTTGGGTAAATACCCAAGCAGTGGTCACGCTGTGGACTATGCCAAGTGCGAGTTATCGTGTCCTCTTTTTGCATGGGTTGGTATATATTCAAAGGGCACCCCCACTTGTACCGCTCGAGTGTACTATCGGCAACATAACACAAAGATTGATAGAAAAAAAAACAACGTTCTTGATTATGTTTTTATGAAACAACAAATATTTTACAAGTGTTTTGTTTTCGTAATGTTTGAATTGTTCAATTTTTAAAAAAACTAGAATAAATTTTCATTAACTATTTTACTTTTATTCTTTTTGTGCGTTTGTGTTTGAAAGCAAAGAAATTGAATACCGGTATTTTGTACGGCAATCAGTATACCAATATGATTAAATCATCGACTGAATTATTTTGAATACATGATCATTTTTGACTCGCCTCACATTCTCCTGAATAATTTAACAACTCAATAGACCAGACAGTTTTTGATTCTACCATCCACTACCACAACCCAAAATCTCATGTTCTGACACTTTTTTGTTCGGTAAATATTCCGGAACTCGTTATCAACGTCACTTAAGACATTTTTTGAAGCTCCCCACTCTCTTGTAGTTGCATATGTAGCATGGGTTTTTTTCTTTTGCCCGAGACAGCATACAGTACATACAAAACCAAAAACTGTCTGCGATAGCGTGTAGAGATTGTATGGAAACCAAGCTAAAAGTTTAAATATTTTGTTTTTGCTATTTGTTGTTATAACAAATGCCTGTGTGCCATGTTCTCAAACTTTGATTTTTTGGTAACACCACTTGTTATTAATGTACGATGACTTGCAAGTGAAATAAACAGAAACCCCCCTTACCCCCAAAAAAGAAAAAAAAAACCTTTATTAATGTGGTTGGAGAGTCTTTATTCAATTTGCAACAATGTTGATCAATCGATTATATACACAATTTATATAGCATGATGGAACATTATTACCACAAACAACACATCCAATAACCAAAATGACACTAACTATTTTTATGTACTGAAATAAATACAACTTATTCATTACACAACTATCAGAAGAACTCCACAATTGACAAAGACATGCAGAACACTAGAACAAAAACATATTTTTAATAACCCCCTTTCTACATTTACTAGTTATAAATTCAAAATGTATACTCTCTACCTACGAAGTTCCATTCGAAATGAGTACTAAACAGAAAACTGGTAACAAATTTCACACACTCAGAAATCTATCCTATAATTTTATTATTAATTGCGTTGTTGATGAAAATAAAATTTAAAAAACACTAAAGAACACCATCACATTATTGACAATCCAATACATCATCACAACATTTGGCCGAAAAAGTTGTAAGTTGCGAGGAAAATGTAAAGTACCCCCCAACAGGGTAAAACAACCATTCTGCAGCGATCTAACAAAACAATCACCTAAGATATATGAACTGTAATTATTTATTTATAAACACATTATAATTCACAGACTGGACTTCATAAAAAGCATTCCAGAATATTGAAAATCATCTTCAAATATAGTGTATTTGTTTTCGGCATGAGCATGTTTAAAATCATGTTTCTATTCATTATTACATATTATTACATACAGTACATTCACTGTACTGTACATCTATTCGATTATTCTAAATTTTTTTTATAAGACGCTATCTTAACCTTGAATTCATCATATCAATTAATTTTCAGAAATGAGGTCCACAAAAGCAATTTTAGAATCTAATTGATTCAAGCTTTAGCCCTCAAATATTTCAAATTCATTTTCCAATTCAATTTGATTGAAATTGAAAAAAAAATAATAATTTTCAAAATTTCAAATACATAGTTTTTAAAACTATATTTCATTACAAAAAAAATCTCAATTAGAACAATTCTAACAATAAAACATACTTAATCAAAGGGTATTTATATTGGAACATAACAGAAGTTTCCAAAATGGATAAACTTACCAAAATTCGCATTTTGAGAATTTAACACTATTTTCATAGAAAAGTTGAACACGTAAAAATAATTTGATTTTACAATTGAATTTGGGTTTCAGAAGGTTTTCATCCCTGAGATGCCTTTTTGATTTTAATACTTGAAGTTGAGTACCTTTATTACCAAGATATATCAGGGCATTTTTTTTTCTTGCAATACTTCATGGGATTACCAACACATTTATTCCAATTTGCTAAATATATGTTCCTTCAATAGAAACATTACATGTAACATTACTAAGGCAAAAAAAAATTCTTTTTATAATGTATGCATAAATATACACAAGAAAATGTGTGGTATCTTTCACTATTTGGCTTCTCTCCAAGAATTACAAGTGATTGTTAACGATAAATATTTTAATTGGTGAATGGAGATAATCTACATACAGTATTTGCACCTACCCCAAAAGTAATCAACTCATAAAAAATAAAGTCTAAGATTTGTTTTAAGTTAATCAGATACACACCATTTCATCACCTCAGAAACTATACAGAAATATATCTAACATATTATTGTAACCTAGAGTGGAAAAAAGAGAGAAATGGTCGCAGGACGACCAAAAATAAAATTAATCAACTTTATCTCCAACACTATGTTTGTCCATTGTTAATCAGTCAGAGCTCTAAGCCCTGCTTTCTCATAGATGAAAAGAAAAAAAAAAGAAATTAAATATGCTAAATACTGTACTACTATTTATGCATACTATTGTAACTAGATTAGGACAAGAATATATACAACACAGTTTTTTCTTCACAATTAATATGAAAATGAATAATAAATAAGTGTAATTTACTAAATTTAGAAGGAAAAAAACAATTTATAACAATACAGATGTTGTCTCATGGACAACTTCCCAATTTTTACACTATTTAAACCAGTTTTCTACAACGAGAACTGTTAATTCCTTATTACAAACTTGTAACCAAACATTATATTAGAATTCAAATGACATTTTTTAAAATTTGACTTAAAATTCTATTTCCATGTTTAAAATTTTACTCATCTAGATTTTACACTATGCAAATATATTTGCAATGTAATGAAATAATAAATTTTATCAAAGAAATATCAAAAAGTGAATATTTATTATTGTTTCTACAAGTTTTTACTACTATCAGTAAAATTAATATTACCTATGTATTCTATACATAGAAATAATTGTTTTCCCCTATCTGGTAATATTATATATTACACCGAAGTAAAAAAGAAATTTTAAATTGTATTAAAATTTGTAAAAATTGTTGTTGGCACAGAAAGACCATCAACGAATTGAGTAAAAGTAATTATTGAGCAAGTTGTTTCAATGATAACCTATATAATAGTGCACCCATCTTTGTTATAACTTTTGATGTGAAATTTAGATGTTTGGTATAAAATTTAATGGACCATCAGAAGATAGTCATATCAAAATTTCATTTTTCTTATAAACCTTATTATAAATACATATCTGATTCATTAATTGTACAAAGTGTTAAATATTCTATAATTCCTGCAACAGAAACGTAGAAAATATCTAATGAATTTACGATATCTCATTAAATTCCAAAGAATTGGATAGAAATCAACTTTGAAAACATTTTCACTTCATTCAAAGCATTTCTTGGATGTTTTTGCTGGTTTCCTATATACTATATTCTAGTTAATCTCAGTACTGAATTGAACATGTGAAGTGTCAAGAGAATTTAATTATATTTTGATCAATGTGCATGGAAATAAATGTGCAATAACAGCTTTAAAATTTAATTTTGGTCCTCATATAGCTATTAATCAGTTCTAAATTTAGAGGTTATATTCGATTTCGATTACAAAACCAATTAATATATTAGATACTGTTTCTATGAAGCTGCAATACAATTTTTACAATGATTAGAACCAATTTCTACCTAAAAATACTTTGTAAAAGTTAGATAAAATATTAAATAAAAAACCGCATTAAAGATTCTACAGTTAAACTTGCCTAAGTCGACTTTGCCCATCTCGAATAATTTCTATGTCGATCTTTTTTTACATGTCAAATTGTTGTTTTCCCATTGATTAACAATCTGCAAGTCAAATTTGATCTACGTTAAACAAATTTTCAATGAGATTTTGGATTCGACTTGGGCAAGTTCAAATGTACTTAAAAAGGTCTTGCACTATGTTCGCTGTGGGGTCTGTCCCCAACTCCATTTTTGATAAGGGCCACTAACAATACATTTAAGCTGAGGAGATGAGTTTGAGAGGGATGCAGTTGTTTGCGTGTGTGCGAGTCGTGAAGGGACTTCGACACCATTCTTTGAATTTAAAGTCTTCGACGAGTTTGACTGGTTGCTGTTATCACCATGTTTGTTAGCCTTGCGGCGACCTTTCGTTGGAGTTTCTTCACCGGCTAGTCTTGCCGCTTCTTCTTGTTCTTGATGTCTAGCTGTCATTTTATCTTCATATTCTTTCATCCCATGATGCCGAAAATTTAAATGCTTGTGCTGGTAAAACACTAGACTTATTCTGGATGGATGTTGCCTGCAGGGCCTATGAAGCGCTGTGGTGGCATGAAGTTCACGCTTAGCAACTTCAAAGAGGACAGACCCGTGAGTGAGAGCAACAGCAACACCACCGATTGTGGCGTCTCTGAAACAATGGATATTATTAGATATGTATGCTTCTGGAGCATCTGAATCAGACAGTGGTGTGTTTGGTTTTATTTCAGGTTGATCCTGAGGTCTAATTCGATGACCACCTGGCATCTGCTGCATTTGCGCGGCCATCTGTCTATGCAAATTAGCCTGTGAGGCATGCAGTTGCATTTGATTATCATGAAGTTGTCCTGAAATACCCTGAATATTTGATGTTCCTCCAGAATTTGGTGTAATATTAGCATTTGGAAATATTTGCATATTTGCCACCTGAGTTTCTTGTTTAGATGATCCATTATCCACCGGTCTTACCATATCTGGAGGGTAGAAACCAGGAACATTAGTACCATCCTTTGATGTATTCCCCCCAGCACTCTGATTGGAACCAGATTTTCCTGTATTCTGACTTGCAGCTTGTCCTTGGAAAATGTGTGGCGATGCCGGTGTTCCAAACATGAGTCCACTATTCTTAGGTGTGTGGGAATTCAAATCTACTGTTCCCGGCTTTGTATTCAAAGGTGGAGTAGGCCCTGAGTCATGTGACACACTTGGTGATGCAGCATTTGTTGTGGCTTTATCTTCAATAGGTGGTCGCCATATGCTAGAAGGATGTTGTTGTTGTTGTTTTGACTGTGCAGCCTGGCCATGTGCAACAACCTGAGCATTCCGCTCCCCACCAGGTTGATTATGCTGTCCAGGATGACTAAACCCAGGCAAAACAGGTGGGTGGAATCCTCCTGCGCCCCCTCCTAGACGAGCACTATGCTCGGCACCTGTTCCCCTATTCCAGTGTTCATGACGAGTCAAATCAATTTGTGGAATAGTTTGTCCGTACATTGCACTTAATTTGTCCGTACATCCCATCAGACTGTTCAGGTGTCTTACATCAGGCTTCTGATCTTCAAATTGAGGTCTGATGTGAGCCTGTGAAGGCATAAAAGGACTAAGGTGCACACCAGGGAGATGACCCTGAAAGCCTGGATGAATACCATGCATGTTGGCCTCTGAGTGCATCTTATCTTGTCCTAGCATTCCATGTATGGGAAAGTACTGTGAAAATTGTGGAATTGCAGGATATTGCGTGTACATTTCAAAGGGGAATGGCAATCCTAACTGTTGACCCATCAGACTAGGATGCATGCCATTCATCACAGCATGAGGGTGCATCCCAAGATTGTCTGAGGGTGTCTGTCTAGCATTGAGTCCGACCTGCCAATGATTGTGTTGATTGTAAGTTGCCGCCACATTGGCATCTTGCATATGTTTACTTGGAAGCTGGAAACCTTGTGGGGGCGCTGTTCTTTTAAACTCTTCCTTAACAACAGTCTCTGAGATCTTTTTACTCGCTTCCTTGGTGGCATTGCTTTCAGCTGCTTGTGCACTTGCTTTAGCACGTTTACTTGGACTATCCGAGCTTCCACTCGAGTCTTTATTTCGTTTGCCTTTGCGAGCGATGATCTGGTCCTTAGATTTCATGCGGACCTCATTGCGAAAGTTTGTCAGAACTTCTATAGCACCGCTTTGAACTTTAGCCCGCTGACCTTCTGGGTCACCATGCTCGTCAGTGCTGTCCAAGTAGTACAGTGGCAGTACATGCAACTGTTCATCCCCTGGGTCTGGTTTTCTGTTACGCACTTCCTCTTTTGTTAGAGTCACCACCTATAAACAACGATCAGAAAAAATGGTATACAGTAATATTCTATTCTTCATCTTTTATAACATGACCGTCTTGATCTAGTAAAAATATTGAATAAAATTCAATTTGAATTGCTTATGTTGTTATACTGTATTTTAAGTAAGTTATTAGTTTTTAAATTTTGCAATAACTACAAGAAAATATTTTCTTAGTTTCTGTATTCTTTACATTAGCAATTTATCAGGATGATTAATTAAAGAAATGTCCTTAAATCAGCAAAAACTGATTTTTTTTTTTTAATATATTAGTGTCTACATTGAAGCTGAAAACTTGAACGACCTAATGTGATCTAAATGTTCTTTTATTCAAATATTAACAGAATATACTGTAAAACAGTTGGTTTCTATGATAGCTTTAACAACACACAAACAAAAGTAATGAAGGATTGTAAACATACCACTGTACAACCATTATTCATATTTTGTTGATCACGATGAGCATGGGCGCAGAAGTCCATACATGAAGTGACAGCCCCAAATGGACGACCTGTACCATAACCTATCCTACATTCGTTTCCTTCCTTTTCAAGATGAACCTGAAAAATTAACAAGACATGGTTGGATTAAATTAGCTAACGAATATAACATGGTTAGATTAAATTAGCTAACGAATATAACATGACAAAATTCTTGCCTGTTGAGTATCAAAATAACTCCCATTCTAGACCACTGAATGGTTTTTAATGGTCTCGAAAAACTTGCCTAAACAATGTAATCTGTACCAACACAGCGCCACCTGTCGGCAAGTTGGAGATTTCTACATTACAGTATTTGATGATGGTAGCTGATAGCCACCAAAACTGTCATACAATTAGGACTAAAATTATGTAAAATAGTTTTGACAATTTAGGCTTAGCTTAGGTTAGACAAATTATGATAGCTAGGATGACATGATGCCAGGCTGAGGAGTGGGATCATTAGTTAGCTATGCTATGCACACACCATCTGCCTTCATTAGGAAAATTATCCAATGATTTTAAGTAAGTTAACTTATGTTTAAATGGACAACCAAAAAGAGGTAATAACAAAATAAAATAGTACTTTTACTACTACTTTCATTATAGTACAAACCACCTATGTTAGTTACTTGCATACTAAGGTGGTGTGTGGAATCTCTTTTCTTTTATTTTTGGCTTTTTTTTTTTTGTACTTAAAAATGAATTGCATTGTTATTGTTTACCTGATGTTCATATGAGTCTGGTGCTATCTGCTTGTACAATGGGCCAAGGAACGTAGCTAGATCTTGAAGTTCACTCTCAACTATTTCTTCCTAAGAAAACAAGACAAAAAAGACTGTAAAAACAAATCAATTTCAAATATGCACTCATTTAAATAGATCAAATAACTAGAGTGATACAAAAATGCTTGGAGGCAGTGTTCTATATGCAGTGTAGAAGGCTGTCGATGTACCTAGACAATTGTTTGTACCATTCTGTGCAGCACCTGAGGACAATTACCGCATCACCACAACGTTATGCTGCACAAGACAGAGGTTTTCTCATAAACAGGGAGAAATCAGTTTTCGCTTATAATGAATTTTTAAACATTGTTTACCAGCCGATATAACGATCTATCTACACTATCATATTGTTTTTGACAGATGAATGTGATGATACGCCCATACTTGGGTGTAATATGACATCATCATGCCCATATATGGGCTTATCACAACAAATTTGTCAATTTGATAGTGTGAACAGAGCATTAGGGACTATGCAAGAAATATAGGAATGGTTTTGTTTATGCATGTTAATTGACAAGGACAACACTTTCACATTCAATGATGACAAAGAGCAAATATGTATTGATTCTTGTGGTGGTCTGTCCGGTGGGCTGCCAGCCTGACAGCAAAGGCCAGTGTACAATTGCAGTTTCAAATTTGGAACTTGCCAATCATCTTTATAGCTTTTTAACAGAACTAATTTAATTTAAAATTTTATTAAATTATTAAGCAATATACATATTTAGGGTTGAAGGAGTAGAAAACTAAGCGTGGGTTAATAAGTGTACGGAGAGGGCCATGTAATTAGCTTTAGACTGGGCGGAAAACTTCAATTGTGGGTGGCCCAGCCCACCATAACTATATCCCTGCATATTCTCACCTCCTGTGAGCCATCCAGCTTGAATTTTCTTGGAGTCTTGCTCCTGGCAAATTTACATCCGTTGTAATACATTAACCAAGAACAACCAAATGAAAACGATGCTCCAGAGGAATCGTCATCCATCCCTTGGCAGGCACAAGTTTTTCTAACGAAATAAGAAAATTAGATTCTCGTTAACATTTAAGTATATGACAAATTTACAATCTAAAATACAATAAAAATATTGGTTATTGTTCGCTGCATTTTGATAGACTAAAATTTGTTTTTTAGTATAACTTATTAATAAAATAAGTTATACTAACAAGCAACATGTTTCGATGCATCACATATCATCATCAGGCAATAGTGCTTATGCTATTACCGGGGAATTAACTTAGTATTTGCTTGTTTGCCATACAGTACATCTGACCGGTAGTTCATAAACAAATAGTAGTATAAGTGCTACACTGCTTGATGATGATGCGCGACACGTCAAAATGTCGTTTATTAGTATCATTTATTTTATTAGATGCATTACTGCATTAATACATAATTAATAACAATTTAATTACTTATCCCAATCATGAAATTTACATGTTCCACCAAAAATAATATTACCATTCTCATTAATCTCTTAACAGCATTTATGTTATATACTGTTAATGGTTTATTGACAAAATATTTATAATGGTATATGAGGAAAGAATGTAATTTACATACTCTTCATTTGTTCCACAGCGTCTGACTGTTGGTGAGCCATGCTTTGGGAGAATTGTCGAAAGCTGTTTATAAAGATTATCCGATACGTCTTCCTTTACACCTTCCCACAATATAATCCCAAGGATAATGTATGCTGTTTCACAAGAATGACCAAATCGGTGTCGCGTCAAGATTAGCATTTTTTCTTCTTTATTTGATCTTCGGATGATCTATTAAGAAAAAAAGCATTGGAACCTCATAAATAACAGTCTAAAAATTTCATAAGTAGGTTTATAAATAAATGTAGTGGAGATGTAGACTGTGGTCAAGATTCCGGCCTTCAAAATCCAGGGTTCAAATCCTGTGTCAGCTATTTTTTTCCCCTCACAACTAAGCCACCTTAAGCCTTGCAATGAAAACTTAAAAAGCCTATTAAATATTTTTCTCCTTTATTTGAATACCAGCTTACCTTCTAGGGTAAGCTAAAAGGGTCTCCCTATATATAAACATGATATAAAAATTGCTGTTTGTGGTAAAATCTTTAAAATCTAAAAAAAAAAACACCCCAAAACATTTAATTGCTCACTTTATATGTATCAAATATTTTAACCTTTAAATAGATAAGGTAAAGGTAGTCCCCTATTCATTATTAAACATAGGGGAAATAGATACCAATGTAAAAAAAAACGTTTTAACAAATCCTTTAATTGTTTACCAATCATACAATTCAACCATCAGTGCAGAGAATATAAGAATGTTAATATGCTCTTACATTTGCCAAATAAAAAAAAATTATTTGAAAGCTAAAAACATAATTATATTAAAAGTAACCAGTTCAAATAATGAATTTTCAAGTTCTTTGAGCAAACGTTTTATCACAACCAAAATATTATAGCCTCTGCTGCCCTCTATATAAATTCAACCACATACAAAACCTTCACCTTCAACTGATAAAACTGAACAGATTTTGAGGTTTGATTGAGAACAGAAGACCATCCCTGGAGAGTTAATAAATACCCTTGGGATGATTGAGGTAAACCTGTAGTAAATGGGTCAATACTTTCAGGGATAATCTCAAAATACTTGACATATTTGGAACAATCATTCTTAAAATACTATGAAAACGCAATCAACTATTTACATTTTAATTATTATGAAAGTTTACTAATTTATTTATAAATAATTTAATGTAATGATTTTTTTTTAAATATTAATATTCTGGGAGTCTTTCCATTTATGTAAAGGTCTACTAAAATAATCATCATTAATAGTATTTTCTTGTTTATAATTAGAAGAGTTTGAGAAGAGATTGAGGTGAAAATATTTAGAGTAATTTTATTTAACAGTCATTTATATGTTATACTTTAAATTCAACAACAATCTTTAGGGATTAATTCAGAGTGGTGAGAATCTTATCAACATTCCATACATGTTTAACCTGGTATACAACATTTTGAAAATGCTTCCTATGCAATTCTTGGCTGTAGACCTGATGCTTATTTTATTACTCAAACACAGGCCAAGACATGTTTAAACATCTAAATATTAAATTTTCCAACAAAACATTACATAAAATCAACAGATAAATTAGATTAGAAATATGCATTTCTTTGTTTTAGGTTACATCTAAAAGCTAAAAACTTATTGAAACTTATTAATTTCTTATATTTATTCTAAATACTATTATATTTATGGCACTTTATTATATCTTTAATACAGTATATACAATAGGAATGTTTTTAAACTGCATCTTAAACATACCCATTTTGCGATGGGACAACCCAACTCCGTTTTCCCTTCCTTTCCCGAATACACTAATTTTTCAATGCGAATACAAGCTCCGGACTCTCCGTACCTGTTGACAAATTTAAAAACAATTGAGGTTATAAAACCACGGTTATTGAAAGCAATGAAATTCTTTCATCCCACATAAAAAATATAAATATGAAAAAATTAAGAATTTTTTTATTCCTTCTCAATGATTTTTTTTTTTTTTTTTTTAGTTCTATGATGCTCCATAGAGCTTCGGATTGGAATGAGTACCACTAACAGAATCATAAAGCAGTTTTAGCAGTTTAATTATTTACAGACATTTTACTGCAAAAATTTGATATAATTTGCTGGCAGAAGTTTCAAAGCCATACATTAACCCTTCTACGGTGAGAGGCAGGCGGCATTGTGTTATCAAGAGCTCCCAGAGAGCAATTGATCCATTAGCTGATGGTTGCGTCCAGCCTTGTTCTTCTGGGTGGAGCGTGACAATAAGGATAAAGTGCCTTCATTGGTTACAATTTAATATAATACAAAAATTGATAATTTTACTAGCAGAAGTTTGAAGGCCACACATCGGTGCATCCTAGGTTGCTCATCCAGCGATTAGCAGGGAAACACAAAACAGAATATGTAGGTTTTATATATTCTGCAACATACCTTTCCTCCATGCATTTGCGTATTGCTTTTATGGATGGACCTGATCCAAGGTGAGTGTAGTATGGAGCATCATCCTTCTCGACTTCTCCTGTCAAAATACAAGACAAGATGGCTGTCAGTTAGTGTAAATAATATGCAATAAAACTGCATTTATTCCTTAAGGTCTAACCACTCAAAATGAGGACGACAGCTCTCCACCCAAACCGAGGACTGACACCAATGCCGTAGCCAGCTATTGGGTCCACCAAGAATGGGTCCACATTTTTAAAATGGGTCTAAATTATGCTGTTTTATGCAAAAAATGAGTCCGTTTTTTGAAAAAAGGGTCTAGATTTCTCATATTTTGCTTAAAATTAATTAACTTTTAAGACAATGGGTCCACATTTTTTGCGTAAAATGGGTCAATTTTTAAGGAAATGGGTCCACATTATTTTAATTTACGCATAAAGTGGGTCCACCGTGATACTGTCCCGCACTGTTTGAAAATCCTGGCTACGGCATTGACTGATATCCTGCACTCTGCGGACTAACACTCCACTCCCTAGAAAAATTCGCTACGAGTGCCAACTGGTATCAAATTAAGCCTGGCACACACTGTATCGAGAATGGAGACCACCATGTGACAAGGAGTGCACAATGGATCATATTTTAATGACAAACCACTCCTTAGACAGCGAACGACAACAGCAGACACCATCTGTTGTCAAGTGACAAGTGCCTTTGCTTGGGGACACAAACAAGTGGTAAGCTTCAGACTTGCACCCAGATTTTTTTTGTTGGTAGCCAAAGGACTTACCTCTGTGTCACATAATTTCAAGTTATACCTCTGTGTCACATAATTTCAAGTTATAGGGAGCCAAGGGCTATGCTTCCTTGCATCACAGAAATTTACGATAATTAAAGCAAACTTACCACAATCACATTCTGGTGGTAGTGCTTTAGCATCTTCTTCTAACATTTTAGTTTTCTTCCAATGTTCATACTCCTGCTCTACTGTCTCTTCAATACTTTTTCTTTTCTTTTTTATTTCAGTCTCTTCTGGTTTCTCCTCCGGTTTCTCTTCCTTGCCTTCTTCAGTGCTTGTTGGGGGAGGGGATCTTGGCGGCGTATTGCATGGATGCTCAACAGTCACCATTTTGCTTGGCCTAGTATTAAGCACTGGTTGGCCAAGCGGCGTTTGCAAAGGTTTTGGAGGATCAAGTGTATGCGCACTCTCAATTCTCTTCAAGGGTCGTGGATGTCGTAAACTAGCTTTTAGTGCGATGCGAGCAATTTCATCAGATATGCAATCTTTTGTTTTATCAGGTGGTTTTGTGATTCTTTTACTAGATTCACTCATATTTCCGTGTAATTGCAAAGGATTTGGCTGCGAAGAACTACTTAGCTTTGGGGTTTCAGACCGCGATTTGCTTTTGGATATCTTTGTTTTGGTCTGCTCAAGTTTTTCAACGCTGCTCATCACAGTGGGCGTGTCCATAAAAACCATATGGTTATTGGCTAAAGACGAAGTGACTTTGGATGCAGACTGAGAAGGTGGTTCCATGGATATAGCGGTCGTATTACATGATTGGTGTCTTCCTGGCTGTTCTGGGGTTACCATAGCAGGAGACATCCTAACTGATTGTTCAATCATGCCTGCATTTCTCTGTAAGGTTTTCTTTTCCTTAGTCGTTTGATTCATATCTTTGGATAACATTTCCATCGACATAATCGGACTCATTCCCGTTTCCGAGAATCTGTCATGGAAACGCGATACTGAGTTCTGTTGATATTTATTCTTTACATGAGCAGACAATTGAGTTCTATGTTCTGTATTCAAGTTGGTGGCACAATTCTGAGGGAGAATTTGGTTGGAATTGCTATGCGTGTTATGGACTTGTGGGTAAGGGTGCGGCCTGTGCAGTGGTTGCTCGTATCTACCAGATTGGGATACATCCATGGCAACAGATGCAGCGATGTGTTGCCCATTTGGCATGTGGTAGTTTTGAGTCCGAGATGAAGGTACGGCCGTTTCTTTGGCCATTTTTGGACCACTTTGGCTGTGTGGTTGCATAGCAGTGGGATCAAACATATTCCATTGGTTGCCCTTTGCAGCAATATTATGAGGGTCCATTTGGCCATGTATTTGAGGCTGACCAGAATTATTTCCTGGGTTGGGACTTCCAACGTTCTCGTGTATACCAGAGCTTAATGAAAGCAGTGATTGAGCAACCTGTATGTCCATTTTCTTAATAGGGAGAAGATTATTAGAGCCGTCTTTTGGGGGCATTGCCTGTTGGGGCAAGAAGCGAATATCATTTTGAGTAGTTGGTTTCAAACGTTCTTTTGTATTTTGCATGTGTGGTACCTGGTTATTCATCGGATGGCCAGCCACCTGCATACTTTGGTTAAAGGCTGGACTACCAGTAGTCCTGAATTCATTTCTAGGTGGAAATTCCTGCTGGAATAAATGTTGATAACTTGGTTTCAATTGGGGGTGTCCTTTACCAGCTGCAGGGTTTTGTGACCTTCCTTTTTCATCCTGGATGTTTTGATATGGGTCCCAGTAGAGCTGGCTGTTATGTGCATGGCCATTCACAAGCACAGGAGCTTGATGCTGGGAGGTCTGTGGGGGCGCTTGTGGATTCATCGTTGCTTTCTTGGCATTCTGAAATGACAACAAATTATAAACGTGAATATATATGAATGAAAATGAAGGAATACAAAAGACTTTTAAAATAACAGTGACGTTAGTATACACAGTTAAAATTTTTTTTAAATGCCCATAAGGAAAATCATAATTCAAGTTAAAATTTTTTTAAATAAATAAAGAAATTTAATGGCACCAGTAACTTGATAAGGTAAAATAGTAATTTCCTGAAGACCATTGCAATAAAAATTAAGCATAACCACTTTACACACAACATGACCTGTTTTGAAACATGTCCAAGAGCTGCTTAGACGACATGGACCACAGATCGTTATCAAGTTTTTCTCATAAGAGCATTTGCCTAATGGCCAGCTGGTTATGCATGTAGCAGTTTAGAATTGTTATCATTGGAAAATATCTAATAGAAATGTTTATCATACAAATCAGTATGCCACAAGGGGACTACAGATTGCTCACGTGAGTGAAAGTAAACAGCCGACAAGAGGCAGTTTATAAAATTATTTTGCCACCCAAAAATTTACAGAAAACCTTGACAGTCAAAGAGAAATTAATTTGCTTATTTAAAAGAACAAGTAATTTCAGCAACATTAAAAAGGCACAGATCAAAAAAAAAAAAAAAATGTTTTAACGATTAAAAGATGTTTTATATCAATTTGAAAATAGGTAAAGCTATTTCATAAGATTCAACAATAAATGTTTAAAATGTATTTGTCTTTCTTCTTTCTTATCAAATTGACCAGACACAGTAAAACGAGGCCTAAACTAGAGATAGTATCTTGCAGATCTAATAATGCATTGTTTACATTTTCTAGTCCTTTACAAGTGTGGTAATTTTTTTTTCTTTTCAAAATTTGCTTGAATAAAGGTCACACAAATAACACTGAACAGTACAAGAAATTGAGGCACGGCCCCCTGTAGCTAGTTGAACTCTACACTTCTATCCCTTATCATCTCTACTTCTATGAAGTCCCCCTGTAGCTAATTGACCTGAGTACGCCTCTCTACCAAATTGACCGCTGCTACAAATACTGGAGGGAGAATACAGGTGAGGAGGTATAGGTGAGATTCAACTGATTATCAAGCATTTGAATCACCGGGTAATTGAAAAACGTGTTTATTGATGATTGAGTTTCATTGGTGTGATGAAGAACTGACCCTGCCTGTACAACCAAGGTCTCCATCCTTTAGCACAAAGGATACAGAACACCTAGCCCAACTGTTATATTACCAAACATCAAAAACAATTATAGACAAAGAACCCAATATAATATTAAGTGTAGGGACATTAGCTGACCCTGTTATTAGAGCCAAGGATCCAACCCTACTGTACTAGAATGATGCAGCCCCCAGACCAACAAAACTAATACTAGAAATTTACAGATTAATAGTTAGCATAATTGCACATTGGAAAAAAAAGTTCCAGAAAAAATGAGAAAAAAAAAATGAATTTGAAAATTATAAATTGTTTAAAGAGATACATGCACACAATGAAGATGATCTAGGTTATATATCTAAAGATATATCAGTATTCCGATATTCTTCCAGTCAAGGAGCTTACCAAATACTGCAGTAACAATGGCAATGTCAATAAACAAAGATAACACCTCGTCATAAGTATAACTTGGCATGAATCATTGAAACTCAACCGTTACGCCTACGCTAACGTTTAACCGGCCGACCATTCTAAAAGCCACTATTACAAAATTGATATACAATCCCTCTTTTAATAATGGACAATTCCAAAGAAAGGACTTCCCTTATACAGTAAAGAAGGGATTTCCCAAACATGGCTCAGATCCAATGATGGTCGGTTGTACTATGCTCCATTGTGGCGGTGGAAACCCTAGCCGGGCGTTTTGCAACAATTGGTTATGTACAATAGTATGCTTGCTCCGTGGCGGTACACATAGAAGTGTAGCATAATACACTTCTGTCTTTTAATGTATTAGGTCCCTACTATAGCCTACTGATCTTACGAATGTTGAATATTCTCTTCTCTCACACTCCATGAATTTTTCAGTCTCAAGCTTATTAACTAGAATTTGGTTGCAGGATACAAGTTTGTAGTTGCAACTTAATACAACGGTAATTTTTGAACATTTAAAAAATAACAACACCACCACCAAAAACAGTAATAATAAAACAAAAAAGTTTCTAAAAAATAAATACATGATCTAATAAAAAAATAAAATCAAATGGAAAATCATAATCATTGTTGAAATTGAAATGTTAAAAACCAAATTATTCATTTTCCTATATTGGTCATAAATTATTAGTATTATTTAAAAAAAAACATAGAAAATAACAAATTGTAAATAAAGGAAAAGGAGTACATTAAAAATAAAATAATGATAATTTTCATCATTGTAACAAAGGAAATATAGGATTATAAAATCCTTTTCGTTTAATATCATGAATAATTCATAAGGTCTTAGATTTCATGAACAAAAGGTCAGCTAAAGGTCATAATAGTATTCATACTGAGAATCTTCAACGAATTTATTTTTGAACCTTAAACACAGCTGCAGAGCAGAAACTGTGCAAAAAATCTGAAGACTTTTTTTCAATCTATAGCCAAATAAATTCACTCTAGATTCTGTTAACTTCAGACGCACTCACGATGTTAGCATTTCGCTAAATCGCAGACTGGTACGCTCACGGAAGTCAACGAGGAGGGGAAACAGTAGAAATATGACTCACGCCAACATTTCGTTACTCTAACAAGATCTTCCTGGTGTGACACAAGGTTACACATTTCGATGAGTGCGTCTCACCATGCTCCGACCGAGCTTGGCATCACACAGCCTAGATGATTCACTATCAAGTAATCAATGATTCATTATCAGATGATTTACATGATTACATGATCATTTCACTTCATGTTGAAAAAAAAAAATTCTGGATGTTATTTTCTTTTTTGACTGTAAATTGGCATTTCTATGTTTCCTAAAATACTATACAAATCCCTTCCATCCAATCAATCAATCTATCCATTAATCGATTAATTTCATCTTGTCTTCCTGCATAACAAGATAAATTCACTTAATGTTTTATTTCTTTCCCCTAAAAAAAAACAAAACAAAACAAAACAAAAACAAAAAAATTATTTTACTATATTGTACAATTTGGTATTTTGTTTCTGCACTAAAAATAACTTCAATAAAAATTGTGACCCCTGTCAGATTTTTAAGGTCAATTCTATTATTGACAATTTGTTTTCTCCAGATTATTAGTTGTTTTCTTGGTTTAGTGGTTGTGTTTTATAGTCCCATTGGAAGACCAAGCCTAGCCATGAAATTCTATACTACCATACCAGTCTATACCAGTGCTGTCATCCAATAAAGTGCATTGTTCTCCCATAGTGAACATTATAACAAAGGGGTTGGCCTGTCAACATTTAATGTGCGGTATTGGTTGCGACTGACTGGTTGCGTAGATACTAAGTAACATACTACTTCTATACTGTACTGTACTTAAGACGGTTAAACATATTTGCAGTATTACCTAATTGATTCTACTGCAGGAATTAGCCCACCATCTTTACGCTCATTTTGTACTTGAACATATTATAGTATAATATGTGACCAGCTCTGGCAAAAAACAGTTTTAGTTGTTTTTGCATTCTGCATGAATTCTTCTTCAAAGCAGTGTTTATTTGATGGAAATTTGTTAAGTATTAGCAAAGTTATGAATATTTAATTCATTGGGTATTACTATTAGCCATGTAGGTTTTGAGAAAACAGGTTTCAAAGGCTCCAAAATCAAAATCAATAGTTATTATTAAGATTTGTATTTTAGAAATAATTTTAATATACTTTTCAGTTAGATTTAGTGATTGATCGTTGGCAGAAATGTTCTTCAATATAACTTCTTTTATAAAATGCTAAAACATGAATATGTTCGAAAGTCTTTAATATGCCTCAATATGTAATTATATATTTCCAACTAGACAATGACAAAAATTAAGTATATTCTAATGTATTTATTGTATCATTATAATTTAAATTTGTTTGGTTAAAAGGCTAAAATGTGTTTGCCACAAAATAATTAGGCCTACCCTACACTGCCAGCTGGCAAGGTAACCTACTGTATGATACAGAAATTGCAACATGATGGTTACAATATTCATATCTAAAATGTTTTAAAGTCATGTTTAAAAATGCATACTTTTTCCCACAAAAAAAATCTCCAACTTCCCAACACCTGTAAGTTTAAAGGGACTTATAATCAAGTACATTAGTGCCCCGATGACCAGCCCTGTAGGATGGATTTCAAAGAATAACAAATTTCGAATAAATACTAAGGAACAATTAAACTGTGACAAAAAGCATCTGTGACCCATAGGTCCTCTCACTACAAGGGAAGAAATACTTGACAAATCTCACCTGTCTATGATTGTAATTGTTAATTATGTTTAAAAATACATTACTTGTAACAACTTTTGATTGGATAGTTTCACAAAGCATTGAAAATTACTGATTTACAAGAAAGTATGTTGAAGTTGAAATGACCAGCAGAAAATTGTAGAGTCCACAATATACATGGGAAAAAACAAAATGTTATGTTGTGCCTAGGCCTACTGTAGTAGTAAGCTTTTATTAGCAATTTTTTCCTCATCACCAAATTTGTTGTGGTTTGTACATTGTCATTACATTATACACAGGAAAAATATCTAGCCCAAGAAACTAACTAATATTAATATTTAAAAATAATGTTCATAAATTACCTGTCAAGACTACATAAATAATGCCAATAAACAGCATAATCACAGCAACAATGTACAATACCTATGTCCTTATTTCCTTGTATCACATTCACAACTCAGAGTGTAGGCTATTTATCATTTTCCCCCTCCCCACCCCTGAACAAAAATAAAACCAAAGGGAACTCACACACTACTGTGGATTCTCAGACCACCTTAACAAAACAGAACAAAATTTAAACAATGCAAAATGAAATAAATATACTCACTAATATAACGACCAGAGCATTATTTA